AAAGATGGGGTTTCACCATGATGGCCAGGCTGGTCTTGAACTCCTGACCTCAGGTGATCCACCCACCTCGGCCTCCCAAAGTGTTAGGATTACAGGCGTGAACCACCGCACCCGGCCTTCTCTTCCCTTCTCTATGTTTTCTTTTTTCTTTTAAGACAGGGTCTTGCTTCATTGCTGAGGCTACAGTGCAGTGGCACAATCTCAGCTTATTACAGACTCCATTTCCTGGGCTCAAGCCATCCTTGCACCTCAGCCTCCTGAGTTGCTGGGACCACAGGTGTGCGCGGCCAAGCCCTGCTAATTTTTGCATTTTTTTGTAGAGACAGTGTCTCACTATGTTGCCTGGGCTGGTCTTGCATTCCTAGGTTCAAGCAATCCACCTGTCTCGGCCTTCTAAAGTGCTGTGATTACGAAGTGCTGGGCCACCATGCCTGGCCCGCTATTCTTTAGGGATGAGAAATTAACAAGATTTGCCTCCAATCACTGTTACTATAGATTTCTTATAAACCTCAAACAGTGGAATTATTTTTCTGCTCGTGTGTGGGCAAAGAATATGAATGTTGTAAATCCCTCGAGGGTAAAAAATATTGTAAATCCCTCGAGGGTAAAAAATATTCTATCAAAAGGAAATTTGTATTTGAAATCATTTTGTTGGTTTTTTTTAGGTGGTTCCTTAAGTAAGGTTTATTGAAACAATAGTAGCAAGCACTTTACAGAGAGGTTGGGCAACTTGAGCTTATTATTAATATTATTATTATTTTAGAAAGAGAGTCTCTGTTGCCTAGGCTGGAGTGCAGTGGTACAATCACAGCTCACTGCAGCCTTGAATTCCCAGGTTCAAATAATCCTACCTCAGCCTCCCAAGCAGCTGGGACTATAGGTGCGCCACCACACCCAGCTAATTTTTTGTTTTGTTTTGTTTTGAGATGGAGTCTTGCTCTGTCACCCAGGCTGGAGTGCAATGGTGTGATCTTGGCTCACTGCAACCTCCACCTCCCAGGTTCAAGCGATTCTCCTGTCTCAGGCTCCCAAGTAGCTGGGAGCCACCATGCCTAGCTAATTTTTGTATTTTTAGTAGAGATGGGGTTTTGCCACATTGGCCAGGCTGGTCTCGAGCTCCTGACCTCAGGCAATCCACCTGTCTTGGCCTCCCAAAGTGCTGTGATTACAGGGGTGAGCCACTACACACAGTCCCAGATAATTTTTTAATTTTATTTTTTGTAGAGACAGGGTCTCACTATGTTGTCCAGGCTGGTCTTGAACTCCGGGGCTCAGCCTCCCAAAGTGCTGTGATGACAGGTGTGAGGCGCTGTGCCCAGCTGCCGCCATCATTATGATTATCTAACAGCCCCAGGCAGCTGGACACCCTGAGTTCCCTGCCTCTACACTGTATTGCCTCTCTCTGTGGCACGTGTGGACAGGAACAGGTCTCCCCAAACACCAAGAAGGACTCAGACACAGGCTGGACGCTGTGGTGCATCACTTGAGGTCCGGAGTTCGAGACCAGCCTGGCCAACATAGTGAAACCCCATCTCCATTAAAAACACAAACAGCCCAGGTTAGGTACTGATCTTTACACCCACCAGTTAGCGGCTTCTCCTCATCAGTCTTCTGTATTCTTCTTCTAACATTTCGTTTTAAGACTATTGACATTACCACTTACCAATGATAATTTGATTCCAAGCATGGTGGTTAAAAAATAAACCCAATTTTACCCTGAAAAAACAAAACAAACAAACAAAAAAAACACACAAACAAACTAGCCAGGCATGGTGGCTGAGGTGGGAGGATCACCCGAGCCAGGGATGTCGAG